ATCATTGACTCTTGATCATATGCTACCTCTTGAAATGGTTGAACATCGACTGTTTCTTTTTGGTTCAGTGACTGTACATTCCTGTGGTTTCTGCCAGCATCCTCGGTAGAAAACCTCCCCTGCGAGGTGTGATCAGTGCTCAGGAAATTACAAGGAGGCTGTGGTGAGGCCCTCGCTCTGCCTTCTCCTGACTGAGGTGGGCTCAGCAGGGTGACTTGAGCCTTGCTCATCCCCCAAGGAATGGAGATCACCCAGAGCTCCTTCATGCATCTGCACCCAGCCTTGTGAGCCGGTCCACTGTGCTGTCGTTCATTCGATACTCACATTCATTCCCAGTGCCCACTGCAGCGGCTCTGAGTTGGCTTTTGGGGTTTGGATCCCTGCCCAGCCCTGCCTTGGGCGGTGACTAACTCTGAGCCTCAGCCCTGCAGTGCTTGCCTCGAGGGGTTGTGCAGGGCTGAATGAGTGGGGTGGAGAGGTCCCTGCATCAGCAGGTGACAGGAATAGGGCAGAGGCTGCCCGAAGTGGGGATCGGGGCTGAGGCTGGCTGGGAGCTCAGTGTTTCCTCTGCCCTCAGTACGGCAGGAAGAAGCTGAGGTATCTGCCCTACAACCACCAGCACGAATACTTCTTCCTGAGTGAGTCCTGGCCCCAGACAGCCCCCCATCCCTCCACCGACACACTGCTAAGCTTGCCAAGGAGGGTGGGCCACACCAGCCAGCCTGGCCTGCCCCTCTTACCCGTTTACAGATGGGAACACTGAGGTTGAGAGTCTCAACCACTTGCTCCAGGCTACCCATTCCTTGATCCTTGGAGCGTGCGGGTGGGTGACTGAAAGGCTTGCCGGTGCCCCAGGGTCCCTGGCCCATGAGGTGCTGAGCTGGATGTCCACTCAGCAGCGTCTGAGTCTGGGTGGAGCTGGTGGGTGGACGGGTGGGTGGGGCAGCTCTCACCATCTTGTCTCTCTGTTCACAGTCGGGCCGCCTCTGCTCATCCCCATGTATTTCCAGTATCAGATCATCATGACCATGATTGTCCGAAAGGACTGGGTGGTGAGTGGAGGGCAGCTGGGGTGAGTGGACCCCAGGGGTCACTGCCAAGTCACATTTAGGTAGAGACCTCCCTCAGCCTTCCAGGGAGACGACTGCAGGCCGGAGCTAAAGAGCAGGAGTTCCCCAAAAGCACACACGGGTCAGACACCATCTTTGCAGACCCCCTGAGAAAGGTCCCCTTGCCTCTCCATTTCCCCTGTGAACCAGGCTCCACCGCACTCTGGTTGGAGACAGCCAGTTGGGCATTGGCTGGGAAGACAGACTTATCCGAGGGGCCTCCTGGTTCTGGTACTAGCCTGGTAGCCCCTGCAGGCAGCATTTCTCCTAAGAGAATATGTTCACTGGACCAGGCACAGTCTAGTTTGGTTTGGTGTGGCAATAACGCTGCAAGGGACAGGCAGGTCATGGTCCGGAGGACCTTTTATTATTGTTTGTGTTTTAACCCAGTTTCACACTTAGGATGCTGAGGCTCTGAAAGTTTAAGGTTTACCCATTGTTTTGATGTCTTAGTGCTCCTATTACAGACTATCACAAGGGTGTGGCTTTAATGAACAGAAATTTATTTTCTCACAGTTTGTTGTTGTTAGATGCCATTGAGTTGGTTCTGATTCATATCAACCCCGTATGTACAATAGAGCAAAACACTCCCTGGCCCTGCATCATCCTCACAATTTGAACCCATCGCTGCAGCCACTATGTTAATCCAGCTCCTTTAGGGTTTTCCTGTTTCTCGATGACTTTCTACTGTATTTACCAAGAGTTATTTCCTTCTCATGTAAAGATCGCAACTTAGAAAAATCCTTTGGGGCATTCTGCCCTGTCACATGAAGTCACTATGAGTCAGAACAAAACCATGTTTATCTAGCATTTGAAGATTTCAAAGTATCCTGTCTGACATCATTGTTGAAATTCTGTAAAGGGGCCCTGGCTGGAGCATTTATGAGCAGGTGGGGTGGTTGAGGAAGCCAGGAGACTAGCCAGGAAGAACCTGTCTGCGTTCACTCTCAGGATGGACTATTTTTAAAATGTGGACGTTTGCCAGGACTTGCTGTGTTCCAGGAACAGTTAAGCATTGCCACCCACATCGGCACATTTCATCTTGTGAGGGCTGGAGGAAGGGAGAAACTGACTCTAGACAAGTCACTGCTGATTCCCTGGGGGTTCTTCTGGCCCTGGGAGCCTAGTCTGAATGGAAACTCGAGCCTGAGCCTGTCTGTGCCGGGTCAGGGGATACTGCCGGGGGTATTTGAATCCGCCTTCATGATGTCAATATTTAATCATTTTCACTGAACTTGTTCCCAAGGAACAAAGCAGTAAACAGGGTCAGCAGGAAAGGAGAGCAGAGCATGTACCTAAAAGGAATGTGATAACATTTCTGCAAAAGGACCCTTGAGGGCTTTCAGGGCCCACTGTGGCAATGAAGTCCATGATGACCTGGCCCTCACCATGGTCCAGGAAGCAAGGTTCAGGCCTCCAGCCTCAGGCTCCTGTGTATAAAACAGCTGCTGACTGCGCCTCAATGGGAGTATAGGCCAACACTAAATGGTTAAGTGCCTGATTACTAGCTGTAAGGTTGGCAGTGCAAACCCACTAAGCAGGTGCCTCAAAAGAAAGACCTGGCAATCTACTTCCTCAAGGTCAAAGTTAGGAAACCCTGTGGAGCACAGAATATGACCTTGACCATATCCCGCCTGAATTTAGAGATCGTCTCAAGAACAGATTTAATGCATTAGACACTAATAACCGAAAACCAAGAGTTGTGGGATGACATCAAGAACATCACATAGGAAGAAAGTCAATGATCTGTCAGAAGACAGGAAAGAAGGAAAAGACCAGAATGGATGTCAGAAGAGACTCTCTGAAACTTGCTCTCCAGTGTAGAGAGAGATGCTATAGCAAATGGAAGAAGCGAGGAGGTACAAGAGCTGAACAGAAAATTTCAAAGGTCAACTCAAGAATACAGAATCAAAAATTATAATGAAAAGTGCAAACTTTTCTAACTAGAGTTAGAAAATCAAAAGGGAAGAACACGCTCAGCATTTCTCAAGCTGAAAGAACTGAATTAAAAATTCAAGCCTCAACTTGAAATATTGAAAGATCTGTGAGCAAAATATTGCAAGATGCAAAAAACATCAAAAGAAGATGGAAGGAATACACAGTTACTGCACCAAAAAGAAGTGGTTGATAACCAACCATTTCAACAGGTAGCACGCGATCAAGAGCTAATGATCCTGAAGGAAAAAGTCCAAGCTACACTTGGCAAAGAACAAGGCACCAGGAAATGATGGGATAAAAATAGAAATCTTCCACAAACTGATGCAACACAGGAGGCACTCACTCATTTATGCCAAGAAATTTGTAAGACGGATACCTGGCCAACTGACTGGAAAAGATCCATATTTGTGCCCATTCCAAAGAGAGGTGACTCAATGGGATGTGTAAATCATCTGATAATATCATTAATATCATATAGAAGTAAATTTTGCTAAACATAATTTAAAAATGGCTGTAACCGTACATTGGTAGGGAACTGCCAGAGGTTCAAGCCAAAATCAGACAAGAATGTGGAACAAGGGATAGCATTGCTGATGTCAGATGGATCTTGGCTGAAAGCAGAGAATACCAGAAAGATATTTACCTGTGCTTTATTGACTGCAAAGGCTTTTGATTGTGTGGGTCATGACAAGCTATGGACAACATTGTGGAGAATGAGTATTCCAGAACACTCAATTGTGCTCATGAGGAACCTGTACATGGACCAAGTGGCAGTTGTTTGAACAGAACATGGCAACACTGAGTGGTTTAAAATTAGAAATGTGTATGTCAAGGTTGTATTCTTTCACCATACTTACTCAACTTGTATGCTGAGCAAATAATCCAAGAAGCTGGGTTATATAAGGAAGAATGTGGCATCAGGATTAGAGGAAGACTCATTAACAACTTGCAATATGTAGATGATACAACCTTGCTTGCTGAAAGGGAAGAGAACTTAAAATACTTACTGATGATGATCAAAGACCACAGCCTTCCACATAACTTGTACCTCAATGTAAAGGAAACAAAAATCTTCAACACTGGACCAATAAATAACATCAAGCTAAATGAAGAAAGGAGTAAAGTTGTCAAAGACTTCAGTTTGCTCAGATCAATCATCAACATTCATGGAAGGAAGCAGCAGTCTGCAAATCAAATGATTGTATTAGGCAAATCTGCTGCACAAGACCTCTTTAAAGTGGTGAAGAGCAAAGATGTCGGTTTGAGGATTAAGGTACGCCTGATCCAAGCTATGGTGTTTGCAATAACCTCATATGCATGTGTAAGTTGGGCAGTGAATAAGGAGGACCGTAGAAGAATTGATGCATTTGCGTTATGGTGTTGGAGGAGAATATTCAAAGTTCCATGAGCTGCCAGAAGAGCAAACCAATCTGTGTTGGAAGAAGTACAGCCAGAGTGCTCCTTGGAAGCCAGATGTCTCTCATACTTTAAATATATTGTCAGGAGGGACCAGTCACTGGAGAGGGACATCATGCTGGGTAAAGTGGAGGGTCAGCGAAAAAAAGGAAGACTCCCTCCCCAACAAGATGGATTGGCACAGTGGCAGCAGCAGTGGGCTCAAGAGTAGCAGCGATTGTAGGGTGGCCCAGGATAGGACAATGTTTTGTTCTGTTGTGCATAAGGTCGCTTTGAGTCGGTACCAACTAGATGTCACCTAACAACAACAACAACAATGAAGCACACTTATTTGTACACATGGAGTTGTCAGGAGTTGAAATCTACTCTAGGGCAATGGGTTTGGGTTTTTTGTTGCTCTCAGCAGACTTTGTACTGGTCTTGGGCACCTGGCAGGTGGCTAGTGGGAAGGAGTTGCAATTTAGGTGGCTGAGACCTGGCCCCTCTTTTATGGTGTCACAGGGAGTTGTGGCCTGGGGTAGTAGCTCTCCAGGTGGGGGATTCTGGCCCCAGGAACTTTGTCTCTAGACTGATTGTCAGGATGGTAGGGAGCCACACTGTTGCACTCGGTGGGCAGAGATTGGGGAAGGGGTTCTTAAAACTTCCTCAGTGCACAGGACAGTTCCACAATAACCTGTGGCTGGGCCACTGAATCAGTTCTGACTCCTGGTCACCTGTGGGTTACAGAATAGAACAGCTTTAGGTTTTTCTTGGCTGTGAAACGCTGGTTCTAACTCACATTGAGGTGCCTTGGAATACAGACCTGGCAATCTACTTCTGCAAGATCACAGCTTTTAAAACCCTGCACGGAGCACGTCTACTCTGTGTGTGCGGGAACGCCATAAACTAGAGCCGATCCGAGGGCAGTGGACAACAGTGTTTACTCAAGCTGATCACCAGGCCTTTTTCCCGTGGAGCCGATGAGTCAGTTCAATCCACCAGCCTTTAGGTTAGAAGCCAAGTTGCAAAACAGTTTGTCCCACCGAAGGACTGTGACCCCTATTGTTGTTGTTGGTGGTGGTGGTGGTGGTGGTGATTGTGTGCCACCAAGTCAATTTGAACTCATATCGACCCTGTGTAGGGTATCCAAGGCTGTAACTCTTTGCAGGAGCAGAAAGCCTCATCTTTCTTCCGTGGAGTGACTGGTAGATTTGAACTGCTGACCTTGTGGTTAGCAGCCCAGCTAGCTACCAAGGCTCCTTCAGACCCCCATCAGAGGTGTACCTGTCTAGTACTTGTGATGCCTCCTTCTCCCGTACCCCGAAGCCACCTCACTGGGTCCTGAGGTCTCACCCTTGTTCTTCCATCTCTCCTTTCCAAGCTTCCCCACCCCACTTTCCTACTTGGTCAGTGTCCACCCCCACCCCCACCCCCGGCCCACATTCCTCACAACCAAGCCTTCACTAATGCAGCCTCTGAACTCCTCTGAAATCTCACCTTCTCATCAGCCCTGGCGCTGGTTTTGGTCTCCATTGTTTCTTATCTGAGCTTCTGAAATAACAGCCTAATCTGGGGAATCTATTTTAAGCTACAGATTTGACCTCAGTTTTCTGTTCAAAGATCTGCTGTGGCTCTCTGTTACCCCCAAGCTCCTGATCTAGGGAGCCAGACATGACCTGGTCACGCTCTGCATCTGGCATCATGGGATACGCTGCTGTTGGCTAGATGCCCACTCATAGTGATCCTGTGGAAACTGGAAGAAAACCCTGCCGCTCCTTCACCAGCCTTACAGTCATTGCTGTGTTTGAATCCACTGTTGCAGCCGCTCTGTTGATCCATCTTGTTGAGGGTCTTCCTCTTTTTCACTGACCCTCTACTTTACCAAGCGGATGTCCTCCTCCCTCTCTTTCATGTTCCCCAGCACACGCTGTGCAGTCTCTCCCTCTACCGCAAACGTTCTTCCCACTGTCCCCTGCGCAGTTGATGCCTGATGTGCCCCAGCCCAGCTTAGGCGCCAGTCTTGAAGGTAAACCTGTCCAGTTGCCATCGAGTCTGTTCTGACTCCTGATGGCCCCCGTATACATCAGAGTAGAACTGGGCTCCACAGGGCTTTTCAAGGATGATTTTTCAGGCCTCCAAGACACATCTGGGCGGATTCAAAGCCTTTCAGGTAGGGGCCGAGCCGCTAATTGTTTGTATCACCCAAGTGGTCCTTTTCTGTCTCAGGGTCATGTTATACTCCCTTCACCCCCACCCCTCCATCTCTAGCACCTTCCATAAACCAAACAAACTCCCTGCTAATGAATTGATTCCAACTCATAGTGATCACCACCAAGACTGTACAGCTTTACAAGAGCAGACAGACCCATCTTTCTCCCATGAAGCAGCTGGTTAGATTTGAACCACCGACCTTGCGGTTGGCAGTCCAATTCTTAATCCACAGTGCTACCAGGATGCCTGTTCCCTCCCATATGATGTTGGAATAAAGTAGTCTCTTTACTTCTGTCTGTGGAGGCTCAGCACTTCCCCAGGAGCCTCCTCATGATCCCAACACCTATGAGCTGGACTGCTCACTGCAAGGTCAGCAGTTCAAATCTACCAGCCGCTCCACAGGAGAAAGATGAGGCTTTCTGTTCCCGTAAAGAATTACAGCCTCAGAAACCCTGTACAAGGTCATCATGAATTGGAACCAACATTACAGTACACCACCAACAACAACAACTCATTCCTGACAGATAAAAGGCATCTACTAGTGAGTGCGTGTGGAGCTTAACTGAATAGAGCTCCATTAAAAGTTAGCTCCGCTGAGCAGAGACGGGGAGGAGACACAGGGCAGCGGAAGCAATGTGTTTACAGACACATCTACAGAAAGGAGCTCGGCCTGTTGGGGGTAGATCAGGAGATCCTAGATCTCAGTCAGGCATGTGAAGGACTCAGTGTTCTCCCCAGGAGCCAGTGAGAAGATCTAGGGATGGTTTTGAAGATGGCCGTGTGGGGGAGGGACTGGGTTGGAATCATTCCCACTTGTAAAGTCCGGGTGTGGCGCTGTAGGATAAGCACTGGACTGCTGATTACAAGGTTGGTGCTTCAAACCCACCAGCCACTCCTCGGTTCCCTATGCAGTGTTGCTATGAGTTGGAATGGACTCCCTGGCACTTAACAACAACTTATTCGCACAAAAGCTGTGTTTATAGTTCCAGCAAACACATGTGGAAGCTCTGTGGAAGATGGGGGGAACTGAGGCACAGCTAAGTGCATCTCCCACAGCTGTGTAAAGTCAGCCGTGGAGCGGGGAAGCCCGTGTGCTCTACCCTTCCTGCCCGTTCACTCTGCGGAGGTGAGAGCTAAGAGGGCTGAGAGGAAGGAGAAGCATCTAGAATATAGCCTGGATGGAACATGTGGATTCAGTTAACAACACACTGAGCACCAACACGCTGTGCGCTTGGGACAAAGTGTTTCCTCAGAAGAATTTGCAATAAAAGAAGGACGTATCCGAGTGGTCAGATGGGAATTGTTGTCAGGTGCCATCAAGTCGGAACCGACTCATAGCGACCCCATGCACAGCAGAACGAAACAATGTCCAATCCTGGGCCAACCTCACTACCGCTGCCACACTTGAGTCCATCAATGATGCCACCTGGCCGATCCATCACGTTGGCAGTCTTCCTCTTTTTCTCTGACCCTCCACCCTACCCAGCATGACATCCTTCTCCAACGATTGTTTCCTCCGGACAATGTGTCCAAAGTAGGAGAGACGAAGCTTAGCCATCTTGGCCTCCAAGGAGCACTCTGGCTGCACCTCTTCCAAAACAGATCTATTGGTTCTTTTGGCAGTCCATGGCACTTTCAGTATTCTCCTCCAACACCACAACTCACAGGCATCAATTCTTCTACGATCTTCCTTATTCACTGTCCAGCTTTTGCATCCATATGAGGCTATTAAAAACACCATGGCCTGGGTCAGTCACACCTTAGTCCTCAAACTGACATCTCTGCTCTTCAACAGATGGGAATAAGACAGTCTAATGTTCGGATTCACCACTTGTCTGTCAGTGGGCTGTGTTTGGTGGTGTACGTGATGGTGGAAGCTATGCCACTGGTATTTCGGATGTCAGAAGTTGTCATTCATGGTGGACAGGTTCCAGCAGAGCTTTCAGACAAATGCAGACTGGAAAGAAGAACTTGGTAATCTACTTCTGAAAAAATCGGCCAGTGGAAACTGTATGAGTTGTAGCGGAACATTGCCTGATACGGTGCTGGAAGATGAGTCCCTCAGGCTGCAAGGCACTCAGAATACGATTGGGGGAAAGCTGCCGCCTCAAAGTAGAGATGAGCTTAATGATGTGGGTGACACAAAGCTTTCGGGACCTTCCTTAGTCGATGTGACATAACTCAAAATAAGAAGAGACAGCTGCAAACATCCATTGGTAATCAGAATGTGGAAGGTACAAGGTATGCTGTTGTTGACGCTAGCAAAGTTGGAAGTCGTCAACAATGAAATGGAATACTGGCTGGTCAGTATCTTAGGCATGGTTATAAGGTGCCATCAAGTTGGTTCTGACTCAAAGCAAGGCTATGTCCAACAGAACAAAACACTGTCTAGTCCTGTACCGTTCTCTCAACTGTTACTACGTTTGAGCCCATTGCTGCAACTGCTACGTCAGTGCATTTCATTGAGGCTCTTCCTCTTCGTTTGCTGACCCTTTACTTTAACAGGCACCATGTCCTTCCCCAGGGACTAGTCCCTCCTGATAACATGCCCCAGAGTACATGAGACAAAGTCTTACCATCCTCACTTCTAACGAGCGTTCTGGCTGCACTACTTCCAAGATTTGTTTGCTCTTCTGGCAGTAAATTTAATATTCTTTGCCTGGTAACTCAAAGGCATCAGTTCTTTTTTGTTCTCCCCTTATTCATTGTCCAGCTCCACAATTGAAAAGCTAGGTGCACCTTAGCCCTCAAAGTCACATCTTTGCTCTTTAACACTTTAAAGATGCCTCTTGCAGCAGATGTGCCTAATGCAATATGTTGTTTGACAACTTCAATCTTTTCTTCGTTTATCATGTGCTTCTTATCGGTCCAGCTGTGAGAATTTTTCTTTTCTTTATATTGAGGTGTAATCCATACTGAAGGCCTTTGATTACCAGTAAATGCTTGAAGTCTAATTCGCTTTCTGCAAGCACAATTGTGTCATCTGCACATCACAGATTGTTAATAAGTCTTCCAGTAACCCTACTGCTGCCTTCTGCTTTGTGTAGCTCAGCTTCTCAAAGTCTTTTCTCAGCACACAATTTGAATAACCCTGTGAAATATACAACCCCGAAGCATGCCTTGCGTGATTTTAAGGCACGTTATCCCATTGTCTTAACCCTTTGCTCTGTTTAGAACGACTGCTTCTTGGTTGATGTGTAGGTTCCGTATGAGTGCAGTTAAGTGTTCTAGAAGTCCCGTTCTTTGCAATGCTATCTGTACAGTCGAATGCTTTTGCATAGTCAGTAAAACACAGGTAAACATTTTTTCTGGTATTCTCTGCTTTCAGTCAAGATCCATCTGGACTTTGGTAATGGTATACTTCATTTATGTTCTCTTCTGAATCTGGCTTGGATTTCTGGTAGCTCCTTGTCTTTGGGCTTTTGTAACCATTTTGAATGCTTTTCAGCAAAATTTTATTTGCATGTGATATTAATGATATTGTTCAACAATTTCCACATTCTGTTGGATCACCTGTCTTTGGACCGTGTTAGGGCTACTAGCCACTCTGCTGAGGTCCTTAAGCCTGTCCCCTCCTTACTCAGAGTATACAGTACCCTAAAACCCACAGCAGTTTCCTACAGACACTCATACAGGCCCCAAGCCCAGACAGGCAGACAATGTTTAGGGAAGTGACAGCCCACAGTGTGCTGGGGCCCAACTTCCCAGAGGCCCTTTAGAGTTTGATTTGGACATTACTGCCTCTCAGAGGGAGAGGGTGTGTATCTGTCCTTAGGCACGTTGTACAGGGGTCCGGCAGGCCTGTGTCTAATCCGTTTCTCCCTGTAGGACTTGGCCTGGGCTATCAGCTACTATGCCCGATTCTTCATGACCTACAGTCCTTTCTACGGTATCCTGGGAGCCCTCCTCTTCCTCAACTTCATCAGGTGCCTGAGTCTTGCTGGTTAATCCCTGGCAATTATGGGGGTCTTTGGGGAAGACTCAGAGGGCCCCCTGGAGAGCCCCGTGGGCTTCTGGAGGTCCCAGCAATGACCCTTGCCCTCTTCCAGGTTCCTGGAGAGCCACTGGTTTGTGTGGGTCACGCAGATGAATCACATAGTCATGGAGATCGACCGCGAGCCCTACCGTGACTGGTTTAGCAGCCAGGTGAGAGGCAGCCAGAGCTGGTCGGCGGTCCCACCCTATGTAGGGACAGGTGGGGACCTGCAGGATGGGACTCCAGGCTGGGAGCGCCAGGTACAGTAGAGGCTCGTGGGAGTCAGGTCTTTGCCTCTCTGTCCCCTCTGCAGCTGGCAGCCACCTGCAATGTGGAGCAGTCCTTCTTTAATGACTGGTTCAGCGGACACCTCAACTTCCAGATCGAACACCAGTGAGTGCACCCCCAGTCCTGTGCTTCATGGTGACCGCCGCCTCTGTCCATAGTTACAGAGCACCTCGGGACTAGCAGGGTGGGAGGACTTGATCCCAGTTTATTGATGGGGATACTGAGCTCCATTGTCTCGGCCCCTCTTGTGTCCCTCCACCTGCATAAAGCACAAACGCCTGTCCATGAATGGGACCACCGCCCCCTCTACACCCAGCAGACACCAGGCGGGACCCAGAGAGGGTGGGGAGCGGTGTGGCCCCCAGCGTCTCATGCCCCATGCCTCTTCCGCTCTTCCCAGCCTCTTTCCCACCATGCCCCGCCACAACTTCCACAAGATCGCCCCCCTGGTGAAGTCCCTGTGTGCCAAGCACAGCATTAAGTACCAGGAGAAGCCGCTGCTGAGGGCCTTGATGGACATTGTCGGGTAGGGACTCTTCAGGGACCAGGGACGGCTGGGGGGACTGAGAGGCATGTAGCAGGGACACGTCCTACAACCAGGTTTGTGTCAGGAGTTGCCTGGCAGCCCTGCAGACCCCATCCTTGCGACCCTGGAGTCTCCAGGCACCGCCTCGCCCAGGAGCTCCCTGACCACCCGCCTCTCTCCACAGCTCCCTGAAGAAATCCGGGCAGCTATGGCTGGACGCCTATCTCCACAAATGAAGCTGCAGCCCCAGGGACACCCGTGGGGGAGGACCAGTTGGGGTGACAGCCAAAGGGAGGGGTGGGGCTTTATTCTGAGGGGCATCCGGGAGGCTGAGGTACCCCAGTTTTTGTTTTCTCTTTCTCCTTTCACTTCAGCCTCCACCCTCTGTTTTCCTCGTGGGGCCCACCCAGCAGCTTCCCAGGCCCTTCCCTTAGATGTTGAGTGAGGTAGAATTGACAGCGATTCGAGGTCCACCAGGGCAGCCGGGCACTGGACTCACTCTCTCTCCCTCAGAGATCAGGGGGTGGGTGCTGGACCGGATACCTGCCCTGCCCTGCCCTGGTAGGGGCTGGGGGAGTGGTACTTTGTGCCCACCCAGCCTCACTGTAGGCCTGTTTCCCTTCAGACGCCCTGACCCTGGCTTCAGTCTCCCTCTGCTCCCAGGAAGCCCACTCAGTCCTGGGGTCCAGAGACTTGCCCTCTTCCTCCCCACCTCAGGCAGGTGCCATCTCATCTTACCAAGCTCCTTGGGAACAAAAGGCTTCAGTGGGCTCACAGAGGCCATGGCCGGGTTGGGAGGGGACAGGCTATCTATGGACTCTAGCCACCCCTGAGCTAAGACATCGAGACCTCACCTTCTCCAACCCAGGACCTTTGGCCCCATCCCCTTCTCATGTGGGCCCCCCATGAGAGTCTTGCTGTCTGTCCCTGGCTGGCTTTCCTTTTTCTTCTTTTAACTGTGTCCTACAGGATGCCTTCTGGTAAGGAGGGGCCGGGCCTTGTGACCATCTGCCTTTTACCACAGCGCCCCCTGCCCCCCCAGGGTCCTGCTGTTGGTAGGGAGTAGATCAGGCAGCCCTGGGGTGCAAGGGGAATGGGGACCCGGGGAGAGCAGAGGGGAGCCTGCTGTTGCTGTACGTCTGGAAATCTAACCCACTAACCAATACTTAAATTCAGGGATGGGGGCCTGAGCAAGCTCGGGGGCGGGGGGGGGGGGTAACACAGGCCTTGCTGATGTCTTCCACTGAGGACGCAGGCCCAGAGGTGAGCTAGATCTGTAGGGTGACGCTCTTACTTCTTACCATGTGGTTTCCCTAACCCCTGTGGTTTTTGGAAATAAAAGCAGTGATTTATTCTCATGGCCTTAAAGCTCAGTACATCGCCACCCCGGGGTGGACGGCTGCTCCCAGCTGGGACACTCAGCCAGCCTGCCCCTCTGTGGTCATCTATCCACAGTTTCTGCTCTCAACAGTATTTCCTCCCCTGCCCGGAAATAACGCTCTAGGCCAAGAAGCAGCCTGCCTTCCTTTTCCTCTGGGACCCTCCAAGAGGCTTTTCCAAACGTGTGCCAGGGGCAGGGAGAAGGGGCCCCTCCTTACCTCCTCATTCCCTGTCTCTGTCCTCACCACCCCAAGCCCAGCCTTCCCTCACCTGGGTCCCACTGCCCTTCTATGGCCCGGCCCACAACCTCATGTCAGCTGGCTTCTTCCAGACTCCCCTCCACCCATCTCCAGATCAGAGTGTTACCCGAACACCGCGTCTGTGCCTTAGAGTGGCACGGCTCACTGGAAGGCAGTGACACCAACCAACGAGGACCTGCCTCTGGCCCAGAGCTTAGAGTTCAGGCTTTTCATGTTTTGTGAAAGCATCCTATTCCATCTCGGAGGACATGGGTCTTCTGATCGATGAGAGGCACAGCCAGCTCTACGTGTACCCTAACAAAAGTTCCTATTGCAGCTGTAAGTTTTCTCTGTAGCCCAGGGGAGGAGACACCACTTCTTCAAGGCTAAGTTTGTAGAATATGTCTTACGTTAAAATCCCGTGTTCTCAGCTCCTGGGCTTAGGGATCTTAATAAACATTTTATACACAGTGTCATTGACTGTTGGCAATGGAACCCCAGTGCTCCTTAGCGTTGTCCCTTCTGTTCTTGTACCTGCATCGCATCTGTACGATGGCTCATTCCGACCCAGCAGCCTGGGGGAAGCCAAGGTTGACGCAGTCCAGGGTCACGGGCTCATAAGTGTCAGATCAGTCTGGCCCCTGAACTGTGGAGTTCAGAGGAACTAGTCCCCACGCTGCTCTGACCATTCATCTTGACCGCTGACTTGGCTGGAGGGTCAAGCAAGGTACGTCATCAAAGGGCCCAAAAGGACCCAGGGGCGTCCCCCAGTAGGGCTGGGGAGGGCCCCAGAGTATACTTGCCTCAGTTTCCCCATTTGTCATGAAGGAACTGGACTAGACAGCTCCAAGGACACATCAGAACACATCAGAGCCCTGGGCCTTACCCTCCTTGCAGACCCCTCAGAGGTCTTGGAGGCTGAAGAACATTCCATCCATCCCTGCCGCATGAACTGAACCTGGTTCCCCTACCTCCCAGGATGGGACAGGGTTACTGGCCCTCACCCCTAGGCCAGGGCCCATCACTGATGACACCCAGGGTCTCTGGGGAGAGAGAGAGTTGTAGGGTGGACCTGTCTGGATGTTATGAGGGAACTGAAAGGTGGGTGGATGCTGCAGCTATGAAGGTTACCTGATCAATCTTGCCTAGGTGCACACACACCTGTGACTCCTCCCCTCCTGCCTTGCCCCACTAAGCACTCTCATTGGCTCCAGAAGCTGGGGATACCATGCCTCCCCAGGAATGGCAGCGGTTGTACCATCAAGTTGGTTCTGACTCAGTATAGGGTTTCCACAGAGCAGCTGGTGGGTTTGAACTGCCGACCTTGCAGTCCGGTACTTTTCCTATAGCACCTTCAGTGGGGAGAATGCATGAAGATCAGCCCAAATTTGATCCCTATGAGGGAGGTCACTCTCCATCCCCTTACCACCAATTCTGACACCAGCCATGTCCGCATAACAGCACTCTGCTTTCCTGGGACTGATAAACCTCTGTTGGGCACACTGAACTCAGACACACATGCAGTATGTGGTCACAGCCAAGTTCAGGAGGAATGTAGGCAGTTTCTGGTGCAGGCCGGCTCAGTTCCTCTTGACTGAGGCCTCCTGTTAGTCCCCTGAGCCCTGCCACCTGTCACCACTGTGCCCCTCCCAGGTTTTACTGTTGCAGCCTTCTTGGGAGGTTCCTCACCTCTCTGCTTCTCTTCCAGCTTTTAGTCCACCTGAAAACCCTTCATCCAATTGGCTGCTTGCATCCATAAACTGTCAATACCAAGGCTACAAACAGACCAATCCCTTCTCAATAGGCAACAGAGACTTCATTTGCATAGCAGGCTGCAGAGAGTTAATTTGCATAGTTTACTGACCAATCCCTGAAGGCTGCATATCAACCACAGGGCAGGGTGCAGTTCCGGGCCTGGAAGAAAAGTAACAAATCCTTTGGGCAAAGGTAACTCCTCAGGGCTTGGGAAATCTGCAGGGGTTTCCCCAAAGAACCAAAGCAAAGCGCACATTGTTGTTAAGTGCCCGTCGAGTTGGTTCCGACCCATAGTGTCCCTGAACAGGGTTTCCGAGGCTAATTTTACAATGCTGACTCCCCTCCTGCTTGGATACTTTGCTGAGTTTCTTTCCCAACACCACAAAAACAAAAGGTTTCTGATTCCTAGCCTATCAAGTCCTGATACTGACACCTAGTGTGCAAGACCCCAAGCTGTCTCAGCCCTGCCACCTGCATCCACAGGTGAGAGGGCCAGATCAGAGGGGGAAGGGACAAGCACAGAAATGCCTGCTCCCAGCCCAGCACCGTCCCCGTCATGTCAGAAGTCAGTGTTTTCAGGAGGCAGTGGAGGAAGTTAGTCCGCAGAGGAGGAGATAGGTGACCCTCAGAGTTGGGTGGTGGTTATGTGAAGTCGATTTGGTTCCGACTCAGGGTTTCCAAGGAGCAGCTGGAGGGTTTAACCACCTATCTTGTGGTTAGCAATCCAGTGCTTATCCTACAGTGCCATACCAAGACTCCTGGAGTTGGGGAGGTAGCCATAATAAGAGGACTTGTGCTTTGTGGGTGCCATGGGATCAGAGTGTGGGGCTGGCAGTGGCCTGGCAAGTTCCCTGGGACCTAGAGAAGCCTTGGCCCATTGAAGGAGGAGAGGAAGCCTTTGGTGAGAAGGACCAGAGCAGAGGTGGTGGCCACCTGGCCTGGGCTTGGGTTGCCATTGGGAAAGACATTACCACACAGCACCTTGAGCCCAGCTCCACCCTCCCCAGAGAGGTGTGCCTCTCTAGACAAGACCCCACTTCTCAAAGAGCCTTGATGTGGCAAAAAGTGACTGGCTTACAAGCTTTCAAGAGGGAACCTAGATCCAGAGGGCCTGGAGGAAGGTAGAATCTCCAGTGAGTAGTATTCAATCTGACTAGGCG